ACCTGGTGCATTGTTCCTGCCCCCGCGTTGCTGGGCTGCTTTCCTCGAGGCCCCACGTTCGGCCCCTCGTCCAACTGCTGCTGCTCCCCCTCTCCCTCTTCCTGGAGTTCTTCGCGCAGCAGTTGCTTCCAGCCTTCCATGCCGTACCGCCTGATATACCGCGCCGTGATCCGCCTCTCTTCACGCTCCGGGTCTCCCTGGCCGTGTCTTGAGTCCCGTGGTACTTCTTCCCCGGCAAATTCAGTCCGCACCTCCGACGGCGGCCTCACTCGTACCGGTCCGTGCAACGGTAGCCGCGTCACCGCCACACACTTTGGGGATGGGGCCACGACTCCAAGTCCTCGTGTACGGAGCCGCTTACCCTTGCTTCGCCTATTCGCCTTCGCCGATGAAGCCTCTTTGCGGGCGTCGTCGCTGTCTGACGACTCTTCCTGTCCCTCCTCTGAGCCTTCCTTGTCCCTTTCCTGTACGCGGTTCCATTGCGTCGTGAAGGCATTCTCTGGGTCAAGGCTAACGGCCTCAGGCAACCCAACCTGGGTATTCGCTAAGCGAGGGCAACCACCCTTAGTGCTGGCCTTCCAGAAGCGGATCCATGCAGGCGGGTTCAAGGTAATCCAACCCTGCGCGGGAGCATGCCCCTGTGGCGGGCCTGCCGGGTTGCTTGCGACCCAACCTACCGGCCTAAGCCAACTCAGCCTGGGTGCTTCACTGCGCGAGAGCATACCCGCTGGGGCTGGCCTTCCGGATGCATGCGACCAAACCTACCGGCCCAAGGCAACTCAGCCTGGGTGCTTCGCCGCGCGAGAGCATACCCGCTGGGGCTGGCCTTCCGGATGCATGCGACCAAAACCTGCCGGCCCAAGGCAACTCAGCCTGGGTGCTTCACCGCGCGAGAGCATACCTGCTGGGGCTGGCCTTCCGGATGCTTGCGACCAAACCTACCGGCCCAAGGCAACTCAGCCTGGGTGCTTCGCCGCGCGAGAGCATACCCGCTGGGGCTGGCCTTCCGGATGCATGCGACCAAAACCTGCCGGCCCAAGGCAAATCAGCCTGGGTGCTTCGCCGCGCGACAGCATACCCGCTGGGGCTGGCCTTCCGGATGCATGCGACCAAACCCGCCGGCCCAAGGCAAATCAGCCTGGGTGCTTCGCCGCGCGACAGCATACCCGCTGGGGCTGGCCTTCCGGATGCATGCGACCAAAACCTGCCGGCCCAAGGCAAATCAGCCTGGGTGCTTCGCTGCGCGACAGCATACCCGCTGGGGCTGGCCTTCCGGATGCTTGCAACCAAACCTAACGTCCTAAGGCGCCTCAGCCTGGGCGCTTCGCTGCGTGAAAGCATGCCCCTGGGGCTGGCCTTCCGGATAGAATGCAGCTCCACACGGTAGCTCGGCCCTTCGCGAGACCTCCTTCGGATGAACCTACAGTGCTATGGTTACTATATGTTGGGCATTTGCTCCTTCCGAAATGTGAAGCCGTCGACTAGGTGCATCTTTTCCCCGGGCGTGGCCCCCAGTGGGCGTACCCCTGCCTAGGCGCTATTGCGGACTTTTGGCTGCTCTCATGACAGGAACCCGCTGGGATAACAGACCACGCTGCGCCATTCTCAAAGCAACTACCCCTCTGCCGCGGCGCCATCCACCGGAAACGGACCCAACCTCACTAGCACTAACGCTCTGAGTTGGCCACTCGCGGCCTACAGATTCGTGCTCTTCATAAGCTAGGCCTGACCCGGAGCTTCTAATCCAGCCTGGTCAAACAACAGCGGCGGCGCATCCCCTTCCCGCTATTTTAAAATACTGGGTCCGGTCTCTCCCATGCCTTTGATATAACAGAACTTGCGGCGGCTGGCTGTGCCTACTGTCCGGCCGCGCGGAGCAATAGCTGGCGTCTGTTACTCACCGCATCGGCCCCCTCCGGGTAACTAGTTGGTCCGCCATTCTGACGTCCTCCTTCGTCTCGCTGTTGAATGATGTCCTCCAAGCCCTCTTGGACTCCGCCGCGCGATTCCTCGCGCTCTGCCATCACTTCGCTGTTACTGGCGACCGATATGCCAGCAACGTCAGATCGCCTTATCTACTTTCCTATTGAGCTGGGTCCCGAATACAAAGTAAATCCCTATTTAAACAATTCAAACTCCCCAACAGACGACGTTCTGACTTGCGCTTGCTTGCATGGTTGACTGGCGAACTTGCGTTGTCTGGATTCAGCGCTTTGTTCCCAGCTAAACTTTGTAACGAACTACCGTATCAGTCCCTGTCCTCTGGCCCATTCTGGTCTGCGCCTTCCCGCGCCGCACTTGCCGTACTGCACTACAGGACGAGCACTTAATCAACCAATGCTCCTGCAACGTTCCAAGCAGTAATGAACCGTATATTTGCTGCGTACATTGGCAAATTCGTGCTAGTGTACTTGGACGATATTTTGGTCTTCAGTAAGACCCCCGCCGAGCATGAACAACACATCCGTACCGTGTTGTCCTTGCTAAGAGAGCACCAATTTAAGGCAAAAATGTCGAAATGCCAGTTCAACCAGACCGAGCTGCATTTCCTGGGTCACGTCGTCAGCCGAGAGGGGCTGAAAGTGGACGAGCGTAAGGTCCAAACCAGTGCTTGAATGTAAATGCTCGTCGCTCCGTACCGGACTAGCGTGAAGTGGGCCTTTGCGTCCAGCCTTACACCCGATCCCAATGTTTAATCAGGCCACACCACATCCCAATGCGCTTAATGGGTGGGTGGGAGGGTCTTCGGCTGGTCCGCAAGTTTTAAGCCTTGGGTCCGGAGCGGCGGTAAGATGCTTGCATTTATGACAGGGAAAATTATTGGCTACTCTTGCGTCTTACTGCGGTCTCCAATGCGCGTGGGCGATTTACGCCCTGTTCATCTGCCTACTTGCATCGCGGCTGATCTCCTTCTCCTTAGGTTTAGATTAATTAGATGTAAACCACTGATTCCCGGTTGTCCTGAATGTGCGATCATTCTGATGCGTTTCCGTACCGCTGTCGTGCCCAGGTCGATGGCTTTGCCTTTCTTGGCACTGACGCGACTAGCTCCGCGCAGCCTTCCTTTGTTCCTGGATGGGGCTTACGTGGCGTGGTGAGGTGTCGCCGAGCTATTGTGTTGTCCTTTGCGCTTGCGATAGACGGGCCCGTCTCCCCGCAGGTCCCTCTTCGCACTGGCAGCCTCGGCCTTCAGGGGGGTCCGCTTTCCTTGGTTGGATTGTCGGCTCCATCTCTCGAGTCTCCGCCTTTGGCGCCTTCTGTGGGTTATCCGTTTGCTGCCCCCTGTTCTGT